GAAGAAGGGGTAGAAATGAAATAATAAGGGAAAGAAGATGAAGGACTAGATTCTTTAAGCCTGTTGTAATCAGTAACCAAAAACAATGGCACTTACCTGCAATGGTCTCACAGAAGACCACAATCAGTCTAGAAAAGGGAACACCCCACCCTTTACCTCTCAGATGCTGGGTATGGGTAGATTTTAGATGGAGAATAAATCACTGCCATTAGTTTTCCTCTGCTGAACCTATCAAGCTCCAACATATATCAAGCTCCAAACCTACAGTTTCACAGATGGCTCTGGTTAATATTGGTGAGTCACAAAGTAAATGACTACCAAGTAGGCTATGTTGTTAACTTGGGTAATTGTCAAGACATGAAAACAAAAAGTTATCTATAGTTGGGCAAGATCATGAAAACCTTTAATCCTAGCTTTCAGGAGGTAGAAAAAAGGAGAACTCTGAGTTCAAGACCAGCCTTGTGTACCTAGGGAGTCTAGGACAGCTGGCAATACACAGAGACATGTTTCAAATGAAAGCCAACTCCTCCCTGAGAAATAGCATTTATGATACCATCCAAAGGAGGAATATAATGAACAGCCCTACCAGTTATGATGCCTATGAACCACATCAATGGTCATCTTGGGAAGATAACCCTAAAGGTGCAAGAGTGGAAACTTAACAGCTTTCTAATGAAACTTAAGAAACTCTAAATAAAAGGGAAACCATGACTGGTTCTGGAAACCTAGCTAACTGCTCAGTACTGGTGAAGTCAAGAATTGTGGAGGAGAACCGACATCACCATATCAGCATAATCTAAACATTTTTCCTTGTACCCACAAATGAATGTAGTCTTCTTCCGTCATCAAAGGTAGAAGGTAGAGACAACTGTAAAAATCTGCCACTATAAAAATGAAGAGTTGTGAAGCCCACACACAATGGATCAATCTCCAAAACATTTTGAAGATGGGGTAGAAATATTGTAAGAGCCAGAAGATTAGGATGTTTGCTGTGAGATTGTTTCTCCTAGTAACGCCAGAAGCTACATCCATAAAATCTCACAAACGTGACCACTCAAACAGGAACTGAACCAGGACAACAATGGACATGCCAAAGTGGATGGGAAAAAGCCCACAAAACCTCAACCCTACACAGAGAACTACTGGCAACCGCCAAATGCTGGCAGCAGGAGAATCCTCCAGAACGAGTACACCAATTAATTGAAAAGATATAAAAGTAATGTGATATGGACAGAGTCGGTTATATTTAGGAATATATGTTTATCAATTATACATCTATTATATACACATACATAATATTATACATATACAGTTATACCTACAATAACAATTAATGAAACGAGCACCCAAGAGAGAGTAGGAAAGAATATATGGGAGGACTTTGCAGTAATAAAGGGAAAAGGATCATGTTGTAATTATGCTATTATCTCAAAAAGTTCAAAGTACAAAAAAATAGAACAAAAATAAAACAAATGAAGAAACAAAATTATCAACAAACCCAAAGAAAAAAGAAAAACAAACAAGTTTCTAAACCTACCAATGAAATGCAGACAAGGGTTCCTTTAAGCTATCTTGTTGCCACTAGGTACAGTGGCCATCATCAGGAAAGGAGGCCAAATACTGCTGTGGGAGAACTAAAGAATCAACCTTGAAAGTCATTGTATATGTTCTAAAGACAGACAGACACACAAAGATAGAAAAAGGAAACCATCTGTGTGACACAATTACAGAACTGATCTGTGGCACTACTGTAGGAACAAAGACAACCATCTACTTATCACAGTAAGAAATAAACGACAAATCAATGTTGAGGAACTAACAGTCCACCTTGATGAACCAATGTGGTTTCTTTTGTGGGGGTATTTTGTCTGCATGTATATCTATGAGCCATATGTGTTTCTAGTAATAGAAAGGACCTAAGGAGGACACTGGATGCCCTGGAGTTGAGGCTTCAGATTGCGTGCCCATGCTGGGAACTCAAAGTGAGTCTTCTGAAGAAGACAGTGTCTGAACCACTGAGTCATCTCCAAATTCCAGTGGACCAGTGTTTTATTGGGATGCCTTACAAGAGTATGGGTGAGCCTGGGTGGATGAGAGCTGCATCAGTCTGTGAGGGTGATGGCTAATGAAATTGGAAACCTGGGGATAAATGCACAGCTTGTAGTCAGCTCGCCTGGGGGTGGAAGTGTGTCTTTCAAGCCACTCAGTACCTCCTCCAGACAGCTTATCTGGTCCAGGCAGCCTGACTGGTGTCTTTGTGGCTGGGCATCTTCTGTGCACCTCAGCTTGTCTGACCATGTCAGCAGTCCTTAGCGATTATATATGCTTGAGGAAGCAGGGCCCTAGTGACTCTTACCAGTTTCTGGGACTTCCTGAAGCTATTAAATCGTCTATTTCTGAGCTTCCGGAGTTTCTCTGTAGGATTGAATCTATCACACTCCATTACAGAATTCTCCTTTTGTTCTGCTTTATCATCCTATGTTTTAAGGAGCTTCCTCCTTAAAACAAGTTGGGAGGGTTTAATATCAGAGGAAGTTGATATATAACCATTCCCAGACAGAAGCTCTAAGGATTTTTCATCTTACCAATGAGCTCTTGCCTATCATATGCACTGCTACTTTATTCACACGATCTAGAAAATGGTATCAAGTAGATGATTGATACGTATTCTATTAAGACTTCATGTAGAAGTCAGGAAGCCAGAAATGGACCAGTAGTGGAGAGATGCGAGAGGGTAGAGAGTAGAATATAGGTGATATTAAAGTAGATAGTGGGAATGTGAGGTGCATGATTCAAATATGTAGTGAAATAGTGGGGAGGAAAGGGAGCTGCTAAAAGCTCAAGTCAAATGAGCTGTCCATGAGGAAGCTACAGGAGACCCAATCATTTTGCATCTCAAGTAAAAAACATAGCCAAGAGGGGATATATATCTCACACGTGCTATAAAAGAATGAGGCAGTGGATAATGTAGGCTAAGTGTTTAACTTGGGGTGGGGGCAGGGAGGAAGGATGAGTGGGTAGGTGAATCAAAAAGGATGTTTGAAGAAGCCTTATGACTTCCCACTAACTTACAAGTTAACACAAAATACGATTTTAAAGAGTTTGAACAGTGGCATCACACATGGGTAAATAATGCTGCTCCCAGATACCAAGGCTATTAAATGGAACTCTCTGTACCAGCTACTAGGTATCTGCCTAGGACTTTCTGGTGATGGAAGCCCCAGAGGCAACCCCAACCCCTCCCCCCAAAAAACCAGGTCATTGCCAGTCCTCTTGCATGGCCATCCTAAGCACATGCTGTTGCTGAAGACATGAAACACTTTGGTTGCACGATAAGACAAGCAATCTTGAACTTACAGGGAAACTCTCCCACTTGGCTAGCTTTTGTAGCACTGCAAGTTCTTGAGCAGACTGGTAGCAGAAAAATGATGCCATGGTCTGTCTTACCCCTGGATCATGCATCTTACAGTAACAACCTACTAGCCAAGATGTGTGCACTGGTAAAACAGTGGCACTATTGTGTATCGATGTAACTAACCTCTCTTGAATGAATTCGAGGCATGCTTCATAGAGGAATTCATACCATGGTTAAAAACAAAGCTCTGTAAGTACAGATCCAAGCAAAGAACCCACTGTTTTCTTAATGATCATGTTGCTAACCTGCCATCTAAATATTCGTTTATAATTATCAATTTGTACTATTCTTAACCTTGGTGAAAAAAGTCTCCTCTTAAAAGTTGGTAGTGGGTAATGCAAGAGACTTGTAACTGTTCAAAAAAGTACTAATAAACAACTATGTAAGAATGAGGGAATTACCATGTCATCACGGCTGATGGAGAATCCCGGAGTCTCCTTTAATACCATGAGGCTCTAATGGCTGTTAGTGGCAGCTGTATTTATTAGAGTGTAAATACTTCCCTATCAGTAATTTAAAATGAATTTCTGCATGTCATAGGAATTGCTTTCTCTCTCCTTTCACTCCTTCCTTCCTTCCCTGAGACTGGGGTTTCTCTGTGTAACCCTGGCTGACTTGGAATTTGTACTGTAGACAAGGTTGGCTGCAAACTCACACAGATGCACCTGGCTCTGTGTCCAGAGTGCTGGGATAAAAGGCATGCATCACCATACCCTTAGCTTCTGGAGACTTCTACGCTGTATGTGGTTAGTGCAGTGATATCACATTGGATGTGTCAAATTCAATACATTTGGAGATAGAAATTTCAATGAACAGTAAGACACAGAGATTATATATGGTATACCTTTACATGGTTTCTCAGAAATATGAACTTAGTGATGTATAAAATAATTACAGGCCTTTGTTATATTTTTTATGTTATTACAATTTGTCTTTATTATAATTTTTTTCTTTTTTGAAACAGGGTTGATGCAGTTATGGCAGTCCTGGAACTTACTATGTAGACCAGGAGGGCTGCGGACTCACAGAGACCTTGCCTCTGTCTTGAGTACTGGGATTAAAGGTGTACACCACCTCACCTGGCACTATTGTGAATGTGTAAATGTTGGATAACATACATATTTTTTTAATATATTTAATTTAATTTGTTATTATAGCTTTTCCCAGGGGTGGGAGGGATGACTCAGTAGGTAAGAGCAGTAATCACTCCTCCAGAGAATCAGTGTTTTAATTACCAACATACAAACAGCTATGAAGAATTGTCTGGACTACCTTTTTCAGGGAACCTGAGGCACTCTTCTGGATTCTACTTGTACCAGGCATACACACAGTGCAGACACACTTGCAGACACGACACTCATACACATCAAAAGAAATAAAAGCTTTCCCTGCAGTTACACTTAGGGAATTTTAATATAGACTTATATTTTTAAGATTTAAACCCTTCATTAAAGGCTTTTACAAGTTTGTTTATTTATGGTTCTAGTACTAATATTGTTGTAACCCGTAAGCAGGAAATACCAGTTAAAGGTTTATATCACATTATTTACAACAGTATGTTTTTCTCCAGTATGAATTTTCTGATGTCTTCTAAGATTTGAAATCTGCGTAAAGGATATGTCACAGTTTTTGCATTTGTAAGGTTTCTCTCCAGTATGAAGTTTCTGATGTCTTCTAAGATTTGAAATCTGCATAAAGGATTTGTCACAGTCTTTGCATTTATAAGGTTTCTCTCCAGTATGAAGTTTCTGGTGTGCTCTAAGGTAGGAGCACCTAGTAAAAGATTTGTCACATTCCTCACATCTGTAAGGTCTCTCTCCAGTGTGAACTCTCTGATGTGTTTTAAGATGTGAGTCTTGGGTAAAGGATTTGTCACATTCCATACATTTGTAAGGTTTCTCTCCAGTATGAATTTTCTGATGTGTGTGAAGAGTTGAACACTTAGTAAAAGATTTGCCACATTCCTTACATATGTAAGGTCTCTCTCCAGTATGAACTCTGTGATGTATTCTAAGATTTGAACGCTGGATAAAGGATTTGTTACATTCTCTACATTTATAAGGTTTCTCTCCAGTATGAATTTTCTCATGTTCTCTAAGAGTCGAACATTCAGTAAAAGATTTGTCACATTCCTTACACCTGTAAGGTTTCTCTCCAGTATGAACACTCTGGTGTCTTCTAAGATGCGAGCACTTGGTAAAGGATTTGTCACATTCCATACATTTGTACGGTTTCTCTCCAGTATGAATTTTCTGATGTGTTTTAAGAGTTGAATTCACAGTAAAGGATTTGTCACATACCTCACATTGGTAAGGTTTCTCTCCAGTATGGATTCTGTAATGCCTTTGAAAATGTGATAATTCAAGAAAGGACTTACCACATTCTTTGCATTTGTAAAATTTCTCTAGAGAATGAGTTTTCTGATGCCTTTTAAAGGATGAATAGTGGGTAAAGGACCTGTCACACTCGTTGCATTTGTAAGGCTTCTTTCCCATATGGAGTTTGAAATGCCTTCGAAAGTGTGAAAGGTGATATGAGATCTTGCCACATTCTTGACAAGTATAAAGTTCCTTAGCAGTATGGACTTTCTGATGCCTCCTAAAACTGGAACAGTGGGCAAAGGATTTGTCACACTCCTTACATTTGTAAGGCTTCTCTCCAGTATGCAATTTCTGATGGCTTTTAAGTGCTGACAACTGAGGAAATGACTTTCCACATTCTTTGCATTTGTAAGGCTTCTCCCCAGTATGAAGTCTTTGATGTGTTTTAAGATTGTTGCACTGGGTAAAGGATTTGTTACAAACGTGGCACTTGTAGGGCTTCTCTCCAGTATGAATTCTCTGATGTACAGAGAAGCTTGAGGGGGTACTGAAGAATTTCCTGCATTTCCCACACTGATATGGTTTCTCTCCAGTGAAGCTTGTTTGTTGCATGAGACTGTATGTAGAGGTGAAATGGTCATCATATTCTTCCTGTCTCTGTTCTTTCTTTGTAGGGTAGTGTCTCTGATCTTGAGTAATGTTGGAACACAAGGTTAACGTTTTCTCACAGTCTTTAGATATGCGACGTTCTTTTCCAGTGTGCATGCTTTTAAATGGATCTGTGTTTGATGAGTCAATAGCAGCATCCCTGTGATTACTGTATCTGTAGTTATTAGAGTTTTCTGTAGCTTCACTACTTTTATAGAGTGCACATTTGGAGGGGTCATGAAGCATTTTGCCAAGCTCATTACACTGACAAGACTCCTTCTCAGTCTTCACATGTTGATGGACTGTATCACATATGCAGTAGTTTTCTGAAAAAGAGTACAAGCCAAATTAATAGGGTTTGTTCCAAAATTAAATGACTGCTTCCTAAGTTTTCTTTTAAGTCAACCTGAAAGCATCAAAGGGTTTGTTTCTTTTCTTTATTTTTTTCTTAAGGCATTCGATTCTTCAGAAGTAATGGATGCAAAGCAAGTATTCTGCCAGATATCCAAGGTTCTAGATTATTTGATGTAGGGCATTCATGGGCAGTTATTGCTTATTTCTATCCTCCATTGTCTGAGCTCTGTACACTGCTGTGTCTCTTAACTTTTCTATATGGTCATTCTCAAATCTACTCTGTACACTGACTCTTAGGATGTTTGTATATTCTCCACCGAGACAATGAAGAATGTAATAAAGACATATATTCAAGGAAAGCAATTAGAGAATATTGCTACCTCATGGACTCATCCTAGACTTATTCCAACCTGATGTCAGCAGTCAAATAAAATTGTACACTGTAATAGTAGTAAGTCACCATAATTTAGCTGCAATAAGGCAAAAGGTCTAGACATTGGACCATCTGCAACGACTTTGGTGGTAACACGGGCTACAGACACAGATAGACTTTTGCTGGAGTAGAGCCATGGACCCAGAAACAGCCTTCAGAGGTACCATGGTCCAGATATCACCATGGCCTCAGGTGGCAGTGGAGGCCTCTCACATTGCTGTTCCTCACTGCAATCACGCCTTAAGTTCTGCCTCTTTCCATAGCACACAAACCACCTTGCTTCTCTTTGTCTCCTATCTCTCTACCATGTACTTATTCAAAGTAGTGGCATCCTCTGTCTGTCTTGCTTGCTTGCGTAAGTGGGCCTCTTGAAAAAGTTCTTTTTTACTACCAGACTTTCCCTGGTTCTCTGGTTTTTTTTTTTTTTTTTTTTTTTTTTTTTGCATGCTGGCTTAATAGAGTTTACAACCTATTAAGTCAGTACATACAAAGGATGAGTTAGGAATTCTACAAGCAAAATGTCCTCACCCACAGAGACCAGGTTTCTGTAATTCTCCAACATCACGTCAATGTACAGAGCCCTCTGAGCAGAGTCCAGGCATTCCCACTCGTCCTGGGGGAAGTCCACAGTCACATCACTGAATGTCAAAAGACCCTGAAACAGAAAATTACTTTTTGACCATGTGCTACAGGGCAGAGTACTGGATATAAAGACACAGGATGTAGATGAATGAAAACAATTATCATCAAAAAATTAAAAAAAAAAAAAAAGATTCCCAATATAGTCACATTTTATAATCAATGTTCTAACTCTGTGACAACAGAATGACAGAACAGGTTTACAAGTACTATACCTGAAACAAGACACACATTTAAGGCTTGGACATGTTTATCTCTATGCTATGGATGCTATATTTATGTCCTACAGGATTACAGTGTACATTTAGAAGGAAAATTTGGGATAAGGAACTGTGCTTTGAAATGCTGTGCCTGAAGATCATAACAGAAAACCGACACTGAATCAATCCTGTCAGTACTTGGGCCTTATATGATTCTATTCTAACAGGCTCAGGGGGGATTTTTAAATTCCAGGTCCAATGCCACAGCATTTAACAGCAAAGGGATAGGTACAGAAAGCAGAACTTATAACTAACCATTAAGCAAAGAGTTTTGGTTTTTTTCCACAATAGCAAAGATTGTAACAACATTGAATACTGACAATTTTAACACTAACATATAAACTCAAGTAGTATATGGAATTAATTTTATAAGAATATTTGGGGGCTGGAGAGATGGATCAGAGGTTAAGAACAGTCGCTGTTCTCTCAAACGTCCTGAGTTCAATTCCCAGCAACCACATGGTGGCTCACAACCATCTATAGTAAGATCTGGTATGCAGGCAGAATGTTGTATAAATAATAAATCTTTAAAAAAAATATTTGGGTTACTAACAAGCAGACAGAAAAAAATTTGTATTAACTGCTCTTGGTACAATCTAAAAATTTCCTAAGAATATACAAAAGTCACCATTGACAAATAACAATTTCAGAACACTGCAGCTTCAGGACAGGCACAGAGAGCTGACATTCAAACAAAAAGTGACTAGAGCAAAGCAATCATGGGAAAGTCCTTCTCTATCAAATGTAATAGTTCATGGACAGCTACCTAATGAGTCCAAGCCCAACTGTTTTACATGGTGGGATGTTTTTTTGGGGAAAAAAAAAAAAGAAAAAGACACACACACACACACACAAAAATACTGATCTCTACTTTGGGAAGTTACCGCTGAGCTTCCTAACCAGGTGAGTGATGTGAGCAGCAATTCTCCTAAAACAAACAGATATGAAGTATCAACAAACACATGGACACATCTCCACAACCATGTTGAACATCAAAGAGAAATACAAATAGGCTACAATCTGAGTGTACACTCAAGAACATTAGTTTCAGGGCAAAACCAAGCCGCACATGCTTGCCACGACCAGCACTCTACAGTGTGCTGAAATCTTTACTAGTAGGAACCAAGTATTATTTATCATTAAGAACTAAGATATAAGTCTCTTTTAATTCCATACATTGGTATTTTTGACAACTAGTCCATGATCCAAGGAAATGTTACAGACTCCACACTCACTCAATAAGATATAAGGATACAAGTGGGTACCCTAATAAGTGGAACAAGGACTGTCTCTGACATGAACTCAGTAGCTGGCTCTTTGATCACCTCCCCCTAATGGAGGAGCAGTCATACCAGGCCACAGAGGAGGACAATGCAGCCAATCCTGATGAGACCTGATAGGCTAGGTTCAGATGGAAGGGGAGGAGGACCACCCCTATCAGTAGACTTGGAAGGGGCATGGGAGGAGATGAGGGAGGGAGGGTGGGATTAGGAGAGGATGAGGGAGGGAGGGTACAGCTGGGATATGAAGTGGATAAACTGTAATTAATTTATAATAAATGAATAAATAAATATTTTAATTGAAAAAAGATATAAGGATACAGTCCATCCTCTACACTGAATGGCCATCAACAGATTTTTCAGGTAATATGTCAAAGTGGAAATATTTTAAAATTACTGATCATAAATTCATGTAGGATATTTGCCCTCAAAAAAAAAAACAAAACAAAACAAAACTTGGAAGGACAGAATAAAAGAAGTGCTATAGGTGAGGATTTTTGGTATTACATTGTATGGCTATCAGCTTGGTATAGTCAAAAAATCAGAAAAAAGGACAGAATAAGATAGAGTACCCAGAAAGAAAACTATAAATTTATATCTACTTAATATTTGACAAAAATATGGCCTTTTCAACAAATGGTGCTGGCAAAACTAGATCAAATAAGAGAATAAAATAAAATTTTTATTTTTCAGTTTGTACAAAACTCCATTCAAAATGGATCAAAAATCTCATTTAAAACCAGAAACACTGAAAATCAGAAAATACTCAGGATACTGGGATGGGCAAGAACTTTTTGAATAGGAAGAACAGCAACAGCACAGGAACCGACCCCATGTATCAGCAGGTGGGACTACTGAGAATAAAATGCTTCTGTACACCAAAGGAAACAATCAGCCGAGCACACAGACACCCACAGAATGGGAGAGGGTCTGTACCAGCAGCACTCTGGGTAGGAGCTCATATCTCAAATTCACCAAGAATTACAGAAATTAAATGCCAAGGAAATAAAACTGCCCATCAATGAATATGGCAAAAAAAAACAAAACAAAACAAAACAAAAAAAAAAGTGTTCAGGATTCCTAAAATGCCATCGTGGACATAAAATTAAAACTACTTTAAAACACTGCCTCACCCCAGGCAAAACGGCTGTCATCAACTAATCTGACAACAAACGTTAGTGAGGATGTGGAGAGAAAGGAAGCCTTATTCACTGTTGATGTGTGTGTGTGTAAACTAATACATTCAAATGGAAATCAGTTTGAAGACTATTAAAAAAATTAAAGATAGAACTCACCTATCCCTCAGCTCCTTCCCTCCTGGGAACATACACAGAAAGTTCCACACCCCACTCTAGAGATATTTACTGCTACATTATCCACTATAGCAAAGTACTGGAATTAAAGTATTGGGTAACAATGCTACCCAAACTATTCCACAAAATAGGAACTGAAAGAACACTGCCACTCACTGGATGAAGTTAGGGTCACCCCGATAACTAAAACACACAAAGATTTAACCAGAACAAAGATTTAAAAAGATAACTAAAACACACAGAGATTTAACCAAGAAAAAGAACTTCAGACCAACATACCTCACGAACATTGATGCAAAAATACTCAATAAAATACTTTCAAACCTTATCCAAGAACACATCAATACATCATCCACCATGATCAAGAAGGCTTGATCCCATCCTTGTACCCCAAGGACACAGGGATGGCTCAATATACAAAAATCCATCAATGTGATCCACCAAATAAACAAACTGAGAGAAAAATCACATGATCATTTCATTAGATGCTGAAAAAGCCTTTTACAAAATCTAACACCCCTTTAGGGACATAAAGCCCATATCAAAACATAATAAAGGCAATATATAGCAACAGATGAATGGATAATGAAAATGTTATACATATAAAATGGAATATTAGGTAAAGAGAAAAATGTAATAATAATTTGCAAAAAAAATGATGGACTAAGATTACATGAGGTCACACAGTGTCACAAAGACGAAATGACACTTTCCCTCATATGCAGAATCTAATTGTATATGTATATGGAAACAATGTATATGTATCTACTATAGTAAACGAAGAAAAGAGAACAAGAAAGGTTAAATATCAGGGGCTGAGGTAGGACTGAACTCAGGTAATGAAAACCAGTTATTTGAAAGGATATAAAGCTAACTGCTCTTCTAGTGGGGGGGAGGAGTGGATCAGTTCATAAAGATACATTTGATAGTGAAAATATAAAATCACACCAGAGGCTCCAGAGCTTCCGGTCCCAGCGACTACTATAAAACTGCGTAAAAGTATACTGAGTTATATAGTCTCTGTATCTGGTTAATCGCAGTGTGTGATTTTGCCTGTTTCCAATTTTCAAAACACAACTTGAAAAAAAATCAGAATTAGAAACTTAAAGGCTTGCAATGTATCAAACTATAAAGTATTTAGGAAAAGACAGGACATGACCACTGACCTGGAACATGCTTAATGGAGAATTATCCATTTCCTGCTGTTTCTCTTCTTTGATTTTTTTCTTTCATGAACAATGAATAGCTGGCTTGTGGCTTTTTAATATCAAGGGGTCAAAAATAAAAAGCAAAAAATCATTCTGAAAGGTGATAAAGAACAATGTTAGGTCACATGAAAAGACCCAAGCAACACAATTCTAGTAAGTCAACGATCTCTAAGCCATGACAGCATGGAAACATCTCAAAATTCATGGAGACATAAGAGCATTTCAAGGTACTCATGAATTAACACATTTTACTAAAGTAGAAAAGTACATCATAAGTTATAGGCAAAACATACACAGGAGACTCATAGGAACTATCAATGAGAACAGGAGATAGTAAATCCCAGGTGAAAAACAGGTAATACAGGAGAGCTGGGAAGTATCATCCCTGGATAAGATAGCAGACCACTCTTTCTCACAGTAAAGAAATGAGTGCTACCAATAATCCATCTACTAACAACATATAAAACAAAACCATTGGGAATACAGACACTAAGAACAAAAACACAGCCACTCTGGAAATCAATATAGAGATAACCAAATCCTCAAGTTAAATAAATGTAGCATATGACACAGGGCTTTCATTTCCTGGTAGATTCTCAAAGGACTCCATTCTACTCCGCAGATATGTGCTCACCTGTGTTCAATGCTGCTCTACTCACAACAGGCAGAAAATGGAAACAGTGTAAATGTGCTTAGACTGAAGATGAAAATGTACATATACACAAGAAAGTACTATTCAGTTGTAAAGAAAATTAAAATCATGAGTTTTACAGGTAAACATATGGACCTAGAAAAGATAATCAGTGATGTGAATGACAGCATCACTCACACGCACAGTCAAATAGGAAGTCTTCTCATATGTACATTAGGATAAACCTGAGAGCTTTCTCAGTGGAGGTCTCCAGAATTATTTCTAGTGAAACAGAATGTGCCAAAACTGATTTCATGTCCCACTTCCACATTCATCCCTTCCCAATCCCTCCAACATACCTGGATCCTCGGCTACCGTCTCCTCCCTCTCCTCCTTCCAGGCTTCTTTGTTCTGCTCCACAGGTGAGCAGGTCTGGGTCATTACTAAGTCCTGCATATGAGAAAGAGAGTCTTCAGAAAGCACCTGTATTTCTTTATTTTTTCTCATTAATTTATTCATTTACTCACTTTACATCCCAACCACAGGCCCCTCCCTTAGCCAAACTAACCAAAAAACAGAGATAATATCCAAATTACCAAAATCAGAAATGAGAATGGGGACATAACAACAGACACTGAGGAAATCCAAAGAATTATTAGTTCTTACCTCAAAATCCTAAACTCCACAAAACTGGAAAATCTAAATGAAATGAACAATTTTCTTGATAGATTCCACTTACCAAAGTTAAATCAAGATCAGTTTAGCAATCTAAATAGTCCTATAACCCCTAAGTAAATAGAGGCAGTCATTAAAAGTCTCTCAACCAAAAAAACCTCAGGGTCAGATGGTTTTAGAGAAGAATTCTACCAGACTTGCAAAGAAGAGCTAGTAACAATTCTACCCAAACTATTCCACAAAATAGGAACTGAAAGAACACTGCCACTCACTGGATGAAGTTAGAGTCACCCTGATAACTAAAACACACAAAGATTTAACCAGAACAAAGATTTAAAACCGCACAAAGATTTAACCAAGAAAAAGAACTTCAGACCAACATACCTCACGAACATTGATGCAAAAATACTCAATAAAATACTTTCAAACCTTATCCAAGAACACATCAATACATCATCCACCATGATCAAGAAGACTTGATCCCATCCTTGTACCCCAAGGACACAGGGATGGCTCAATATACAAAAATCCATCAATGTGATCCACCAAATAAACAAACTGAGAGAAAAATCACATGATCATTTCATTAGATGCTGAAAAAGCCTTTTACAAAATCTAACACCCCTTTAGGGACACAAAGCCCATATCAAAACATAATAAAGGCAATATATAGCAAACTGATAGCCAACGTCAAATGGAAAAGAACCTTAAAGCAATTCCATTAAAATCAGGGACAAAACAAGGCTGTCCACTGTCTCTATATTCTCAACAGAGTACTTGAAGTCCTATCTAGTACAATAAGACAACTAAAGGAGATCAAGGGATACAAATTGGAAAAGATGCCAAAATCTCTTTTCACAGATGACATGATAATATGCATAAGTGACTCTCACCACTCTATTAAAGAATTCAAACAGTTGACAACACCCTCAGCAAAGTGGCTGGATACAAAATTAACTAAAAAAATATATATATATATAAAAATATATATAAATATAAATAAATATAAATATATATATAAATAAAATCGGTAGTTCTCCTTTACATAAACAATAAATGGGCTGAAAAAGAAATTAGGAAAACAACACCCTTCGCAAAAGCCACAACTAATATAAAATATCTTGGTGTAACTCTAACCAAGCAAGTGAAAGACCTGTATGACAAGAACTTTAACTCTCTGAAAAACAAAACTGAAGAAATCAGAAGATGGAAAGATCGCCCATGTTGATGGATCAGTTGGATTAACATTAAAAATGGCCATCTTACCAAAAGCAATGCAATGCAATTCCCATCAAAATTCCAACACAATTTTTAATAGAAGGGGAACATATCTTATTTATTTATTATGTGCATTAGTGTGAAGGTGTCAGATGCCTTGGAACTGACATTACAGACAGTTGTGAGCTGCCATGTGGGGTGCTGGGAATTGAACCCGGGTCCTTTGGAAAAGCAGACAGTGCTCTTAAGCCATCTTTCCAGCCTCTCCAACACAATGTTTAACAGACTGTGAAAGAGCAACTGACAACTTCATATAGGAAAATAAAAAACCAAGGGTTGTAAAAGTAACTTTTAGTTGTGTGTTTCAATTGTTGCCCTGGAAGCTTATTGCCCCCGTTAGGCCTGCTAACCGAGGCCTAATCCTGGAAGATTCTAGGTACAATCTAACCGAGGCCTGGAATGTTTTCAGCCTTTGAGAATTGCTGCTTAATAAGCTCACCCTTTCTAGTTCTTTCTGAGCTCTGGCTGGCTGGTTCAGCTCAGCTGTTCTGGCTCAAACTACTCTTCCAGCTGACTTTTTCAATATGACTTTTCCACTTTGCTCACCCCTTCTTTTCTCCTCCCCTTTCTCTGCATTGCCCCTTAAGTAGGTTCCCTTCCTTTTCTCTTCTCCTGAGAGTTGGACGTATCCTATTCTGTCAAATCTTTTTCTGATTCGTCACCTTTTCTGCCACTCAATTAGGCATCCCTTTCAAACATGGGTGCTTCCTTCTACAAACTAACTTTACCTTCACTGTTTGGGTTTAAAGGCGTGTACCACCATGCCTGCATCTAAGTCTTTATTTACCAGATACTTGCTTTAAACCAGTCTGGCCTTGAACTCAGATCTGCTTGCCTCTGTCTCCTGGATTAAAGGCATGTTTGTATTTCAGCTGGATCACACAGACCTGACAGGTCTTTGGATATGATCTCTTCCCAGAACAGCCATGTTCTGAATCAATATTCCTTTGTACATGATAGCTAAAACAATCCTGTATAATAAAATAACTTCTAGAGGTATTACCATCCCTAATTTCCAGTTGTACTAGAGAGCAATAGTAATAAAAACGGCATAGTATTAGCATAGAAACGGACAGGATGATCAATTGAATCGAATTAAAAACTCAGAAATAAACATACATACCTATGGAGACTTGATTTTTGACAAAGAAGTCAAAACAATACAACAGAAAAAAGAAAGAATCTTCAAAAAATGGTGATGGTCTAACTGGATGTCTGCATATAGAAGAATGAAAATAGATCCATATTTATCACCCTGTACAAAACTGAAGTCCAAGTGGATCAAATATCTGAACATTAAAACCGATACACTAAATCTAATAGAAGAAAAAGTGGGCAATAGCCTTTAATTCACTGGCACAGGAGACAACTTCCTGAACAGCAAAGGAACAGCTCAGGCTCTAAGATTAACAATTAATAAATGGGACCTCATGAGAATGAAAAGCTTCTGTAATGCAAAGGACTGCCAACAGGACATAATGGCAGCCTACAGATTGGGAAAAGATCTTCAACTCTGTATCTGTCAGAGTACTAATATCAAAAATATATAAAGCATTCAACAAATGAAGTAATCCAATTAAAAAATGGGGTACAGAGCTAAACAGAGAATTCTCAACAGAGGGGTCTTTAGTGGCTGAGAAGCACTTAAAAAATGCTCAACATCCTTAGTAATCAGGGAAATGCAAATCAAAACAACTCTACCTCACACCCATCAGAATGGCTACGATCAAAAACTCGAGTGACAGCACGTGCTGGCAAGGATGTGGCACGCTTCAGACCCATTGCTGGTGGGTATGACAGCTCTGGAAATTGCACAACTCTGGATATCAATCTGGCATTTTCTCAGAAAATTGGGGATAGTTCTTCCTCAAGACCCAGCTACACTGCTCCTGGGCATCTGGATTTCTTTCTAACACAACACTGTGTTCAGTAGATAAAGAGAAACAAAACTGAAGATTTTACAGTGACTCCCCAATTAGCATGCAGTGTCAGAACAATGACAAATTTAGAAAGCATTTTTAGTTATTAAGTTGAATCCCACTTTGAATCACAGCTCAGTCAAATCTCAGGGGCAGAAATGAAACTGACTGATTGGGATGACAATATTACATACTAGTGAGGCTCTGAATTGTTCATGGATCAAAAATGATATAAGCCTTAAACATCTCAAAGGGACACACACGAAGAAGAGTACATTTCATGAAATCTTTCTTTGTTCCTCTGAGGGTGTTACCTTACTCTGAGGGATGTAAGACTCATTTACAAAAATCTCCACACTTGCAGAGTAACTTATCAAGAAACCTTGAGGAGAAAGAAAGACTGCAAGAAAACTATTCTCACCCACAGAAACCAGACTGCTCCAATTCTGTAACATCCATTCTCTGTACAAAGCCCTGTGAGCAGGATCCAGGCATAGCCCTCCTCCTGGAAAAAGTCTATAGTCACATCATTGTTTGTCAACAAACTACAAAGTAAAAAACATCAGTTTGAACCCTCATGCTAATGCACAACTTTAGTGTGAGCACTGGGAAGACAGAGGTGGTGGAAATTTGGGAATCCCGGTTCAGCCTAGTCTACCTGGTGAGTTCTACATAATAGTTTGGACATGATCATGGACGAAGGGCTTTTTTTGAACCAAGAAGGCTAGAGTATTGCTGATGTAGATGAGCTTTCATAATTATTCAAAAGATTCTTTCTAATATTATCCTATACTGTAACACCTTTTAATTTTGTTTCTCTTTCTCTCTTTTCTTTCCCCTTCCCCCCACAACTCGGTTTCTCTGTGTAACCCTGTCTGTCCTTAAATTTGCTCTGTAGCCCAGTCTGGCAAAGAAATCCTAGATCTACCTGCCTCTGCCTCCTGAGCGCAGGGATTAAAGGCGAGTGTCACCACCAACACTGCCTGGTTTATAAAATCCTAACTGTGAAAACTCTGTGACATGCTACCCTCAAACAGCACACTGCGGTTTTCCAGGCTCTAAGTTGCAACATTAAGAGTTCTGCACAGTAAAACACCTTCTTTCTTCTTCTTCCTCCTCCTTCTTGCCTGTCTTCCTTCCTTCCTTTTCCTTGTTTTGTTTTTTTGAGACAGGGTCTCACCATACAGCTCTGGCTATCCTGGAATTCACTATGTAGACCAGGCTGGCCTCCAACTCGCTGAAATCTGCCTTTGCCTCCTGAGTGATGGGATAAAAGGTGTGTGCCACCGCGCCACCAAGCCTAGTGGTACACTTTTTACAATGCTGTGTTTACACCAGAGTGCATAGGTCTCAGATGGAAAACTAATGACGGACAAGAGTTTACTTTTAAAAGTTATGTTTACAACCATGCCTGTGGAACTCACAACAAATTATTCCTTCAGATGAAATCAAATTTGCAAGTGTTCCTTTCATGGCTAATATTTAAAAGCTTTCGGGCAGCTCCCTGAGTCCATATGCCACTCTCCTGAACTGGGAAGTGGCATAACGCGGAAGTTAGCATGGATCACTGCAAATTTAAAGAGCATTGTCCTTTCCACCACAGCAAAGAGAACCGTGTTTGCAAATACCAACAGATAAATTCAAATATTCTACTACATTATTCTTACAGGAATATTTGGCAACCAGAAGATCAATGAAAAAATAAAACAAACAGGACTATTCCCGTTAATATTCAGAATTTGCCGATGACATCCACAGCAGCCTTTCGAGAGCTTTCGTCCTTATGACTACAAGAGGAGGTGGTCTGGTTCCTGCTGGTTTCCGGGCCCCGCAGCTCCCGTGACCCGGGAGGTCCCAGGGCAGCCACGCTTTGGTTCTAGCAACAGCAACTGCGCACTGGTGAGCTGCGCAGGCTGCCCCGCGCGGTACCTGCGCCCTGGGTAGTTTCACGTCCCCTCGAGACCCCGCCGTGTCCTCCGCACTCAGGCCTGCCCCACGATACTCCCCACGGCGCGGCCCGCGAGCTTACGCCAGAAACGGCTTCTCAACAGTCGGGCGTCAGTCTGCAGCCCCACGCTCCCTGGCTCACGCACGCAGCGTACCGGTTTCCTCTCGCGTCACTCTTCTAACCCCGCCCAGGCCACAACCTTCCTGGACAGCCAGCCAATGTGCCACGAACGCCCAACCTCTGTTTCCGGTTGAGGGGCCCCGCCCCGCCCCGCGAGACGGGTCCCTCCCACCCTGTCTCTGGCTGCCTTCCTCACAGTCTCTGCCGTCAGGCTGCCCTGGGCCAGCTCCGCACAGCCTCCCCACAGCCTCCCCACAGCTTGCTGCCAACCCAGACCCGGACTGGATCTAGTAGGATGCTACACCCCCGGTTATCTGAGTTCCATCGTGAGTTCTGAACCAACCATTTGAAAGATAGACAGCCTAACACCGACTTGACCACCAGCCTCTTGGCTACATACTTGATACCAAACAATAACAGGCCAAATTCAGAATCCAGGGTCCCATTCCCAGGAACCCAAACATGATACGCCAAAACCAAGTACTGTAATTTGACTTGGGGAGAGACATTTCAGAATTTGAAAAAAAAAAAAAAAAAAAAATAGGTGTTAGTTAGTGGTCAGCCCGTTGCTAATTGCCTAGGGCTGAGTTCATCCTGTGCTGTTTGTCTTCTGTAACTTATGTTTTAGGTAATACGTAGAAAATAAAGATAGATAGATAGATGGATAGATAGATAGATAGATAGATAGATAGATAGATAGATAGATGGAGTGATGAATGCAGAGACTTTTGGCTGTCCAAGATGCAAAAAATAAGTAAAGTATGTATGTGGTCTCAGCCCTAAAAAGGTCAGTTATACCATCCCATCGATGGCTCTTATGGAATTATTAAGGAAGAGGAGGAGGAAGGCCTAAGACTCCATGCAACTATTGTAATCAGTTACAAACAGCAACATTACTGACCTGTACTGGCCTCACGCAAGGCCAAATACATGTAGGAAATGGAAAGGATCACAGGTCCCACTGTTATGCCAGGATCACAGGACCCTCAAAGACCATCAAGAGTCAACTCCATGCAAGAGCAAGAGAGCTTTATTACGAGAGCGACTGAACTCAGGACCCAAGTCTCAGTGACACAGCAGTAGAGAAGTGGGACCTCAAGCCCTGAGTGAGCAGGTTTTTTAAAGGGAAAGACTGCAAGCAGGGGGTTTCCATGACAGCAAGCGGGGGTGGGGGGTGGGGGGGGAGACACAAGTTTCCATGACAGCAAGCAGGGGGGCACATGCCTTGGCATTACAGGATTGGGTAAAAGTCAGAGAGGCAAGGTGACCTCTTCTGAGGCACATAATCACAATTGCCATTCTTCTAAACTATATCTGGAACATTGAGGGGAGAATTTTCCCAGCCAATTCCCAACTGATTCTCATTGATTGCTGCCAGGGGAGATTGTCTCTATTTTTTACTAAACATTTATTCTGTGATATTTCCTGGTACCTGAGTTCAGCTCCTGGTCAAGATGGCTCCTCATTTCAAAATGGAGTACCCAGGCTAACTTGAACTCTTCACCATCATTTACATCTTAAATGTTAGTTATGGATATATGTTTGGAGAAGAATCAGTGCCTTTAGTTGTTATCCTCTGCTGAACCATCCAGACTCCAAAAAATAGCTCCAAAGTCACAGCCTCACAGATGACTCTGCTTAATTTTCAGTGCATCACAAAGCAATATGAACAGAGATGAACACAATACAGAGATTTGTTGGAATTGTGAATCAGAATAGTAGAGAGGTAGGAGGTGAGATTGGGCAGTATTTCACAGGTGCACACACACGAGAGTCAGAGACAGAGAGAGACAGGAGAGAGAGAGAAAGAAATGGTAGTGTCAGACTTACCAAGAAACTCCCTGCTGGCTGGCTTGTGAAGCACTGTGATGTCCTGTGTAGGCTTCTGGCAAAGAAAAGATGTCAATGGTGTTACTTACCATTGAACTTTGCATCCTACAATAACAACCTAAAAGCCAAGATGCGTTTGCTGGTGCAGTGCTGGTGCAGCTGCTTATGGGCATAACCAGTGTGTCTCTTGATTGGATTTGAGGTCTGCTCCATAGAGACAAATTCATGTCGTAATAATGGTCAAAAATCATGGCTTGAGAGCTACAGGTGCAAGGCAGAAGTGTTTTGTTAGTGGCCATGCTGTTACCTGACATCAACACACACACATTTGTAATTATCAATCTGTACTACTCTCTCAAGCTTGGTGAAGGAAGACTCCTGCAGTTAATAGTGGGTAATGCAGGGATCTGTAACTGTTCAGAAAACACTAACATAAGCAATTGTGCAAGACTGGCACAACTACAATTCCATTGTGGCTGAGGGAGGGTCCCTTGAATCTCCTTTACCTCCATGAAGGTTGCTGGCAGCCATATTATTTTAGGCTGTAGAGTAAATACTTCCCCATATTTCTTCAGTACTTCAAAATGAATTCAAGTATGCTCTTGGTGATTTTTTTTTGTTCTTCTTGTTTGTTTGCTTTTCTTTGTGTGTGTGTGTGTGGCAGGTGTTCTCTGTATACCAGACTGGCCTGGAACTCGGAGATACATGTGTGTCTGCCTCCATAGAGCTGGCATTAAAAACATACACAGCCACACCCTTTGCCTTTGGGGATTTTTAGGATGTATGTGAGCATTCCATGTTGTCACTCACAGCTTATATCTTTAGTTTGTCTCCTTCTAGTGTTGTAAGGTTTGACTCTAGTATGAAGATTCTGAAGATGAACAAAAGATGGGAATTTATTAGAGCTCTCTGATTCGTTTATGATAATTTTTAAATGTCTACAATTTCAGAACTAGTTTTGTCAAGTTGACAAACTGGGATTTGTCAAGGTGAATGCATTTCAGGGGTGGGACTTCGATGAACAGCAACACATGGGGATTATATATGGTAAACCTTTATATGGTTTCTCAGAACTATGAACTGTGATGGACAGCAAAGTTAGAGACAGAACTAAAGGACTTTCCACATTTTTAATGTTATTACATTTTGTCCTCTTTATGATTTGTTTTTTCTAAGAAAGTGTTTTTGTAGTCCTAGCTGTCCTGAAACTCCCTATGGAGATCAGGCTGGCCTCAAACTCATAGAAATTCTCCTGCCCCTGTGTCCCGAGTGCTAGAATCAAAGGTTTGCACCATTAAAGGCTTGGCATTACGGTTGAATTTTAGATGTTGAAAAAGCGAAATGTTTTATTACATATTTTACCAGGGATTAGAGAGATGGTGTAGTAGTTAAGATCACTGGTTTTTCTTCCAGAGGACTAGGGTTCATTCCCCCCCCCCCCACACACACACACAGAGCAATTTTCAACTTTGTGTTAACCCAGGTTCAGGGGGTCTGAAGACCCTCCCTGGCCTCCCAGGCGCCAGGCATACATGTAGTGTATGGGAATACTTGAACACAATGCGACCATACATATTTAAAACAGAAAAAAAAAACTTTATCCAGTTGCTTTTGCAGAATTTCATTTTAGGACAAACTGATATTTTCTAAGATTTAAACTCCAATAAAGGCTTTCACAAATTTCTCATCTTTACTTTTCTATGATGTATACTGTTGTGACTTGTGAGCCCAGAATACCAGAAAAATGCTGTCACATTATTTACAGTTGTATCTTTGTGGCCTGTATGAATTTTCTGATGTCTTCTAAGACTTGAGTACTGTGTGAAGGATTTGCCGTAGTCTTTGCATTTGTAAGATTATTTTCTCCAGTAAGAATGGTCTCATGTGCTCTGAGATTTGAGCACCTAGGAAAAGATTTGTCACCTTCCTTCCAACTGTAAGGTCTCTCTCCAGTGTGAACTCTCTGATGTCTTCTAAGATCTGAGGCCTAAGTAAAGGATTTCTCACACTCCATACATTTGTAAGGTTTCCTTCAGTGTGAAAACTCTGACGTGCTCTAAGATTTGCCACACTGCTTACACACTCTCTACAGTATGAAGTCTCTGGTGTGTTCTAAGATTTGAGTACTGAGAAAAGAATATATCAGTCTTTGCATTTGTAAGTTTTTGCTCCAGAATGAATTTTCTAATGTCTGTTGAGGGCTGAGGACTTAGTAAAAGATCTGTCACATACGTCACATCTCTAAGGTCTCTCTCCAGTATGAATTCTTCGATGTGGGTCCTACGATGTGTGCGCTGGGTAAAGGATTTGTCACATTCTCTACATTTGTTAAGGCTTCTCACCGCTGTGGATTCTGTAATGAATCTTAAGATGTGATAATACAAGAAAGCACTTAACACGTTCTTTGCATTTGGGTAATTTCTTTAGAGAATGAATTTTATAATGTCTTCTAAGGAATAAATAGTGGGGAAAGGATCTGTCACACTCATGTATCTGTAAGGCTTTTCTACAGGATGGAGTCTGCAATGGCTTTTAACATGTAAAAGCTGACATAGACCTTGCCACAGTGTTGACAACTATCCTGTTCCTCAGCAGTATGATTTTCTGATGTGTCTTCAAACCAGTACAGTAGGCAAAGGATTTGTCACATTCTTTACATTCACGACGCTTCTCTCCAGAATGCTTTTTCTGATGGTTTTTAAGTGCAGACAAATGAGAAAATGACTTTCCACATTCATTATATTTGTAGTGTTTTTCCCCAGAAGAAGTCTTTGATGTGTTTTAAGGTTGAGCACTGAGTAAAAGATTTGTCACAAACATTGCACCTGTAGGGTTTCTAGTATCAATTCTCTGCTCCACACTGAGGCTTGAGGCGGTCCTGAGCATTTCTCATATTTTCCCTTACTGGTGTGGTTTCTCTCTAATGCAGATTGTTTGCTGCATGCGGCTGCATATAGAGCTAAAATGGTCATCATGCTCTTCCTGTCTGTGCTCTTTCTTTGCAGTGTACAGGCTCTG